CATTAATACTCTATAGAGCTGTTTGCTGGCAGAATCCTTGTATTCTAGGTGCATATAACCCAAATCAAGTAATGCTGGCATCAATCCACAAGACAGAGATTATGCAATAAAGCACAGAATAAATACACAAAAAAAGGAGATTAATTTAGGAGACAGCTCAGATGCAGGAGTGTGATGAGTAGACAAAAAGAACATTGCTGAAGTTTGATCTTCCCTAATGCAGTATCGGCAAATAGCTCTGGCACCAAGATCATTGTCATATGGCTACCTCCCAGAACCTGGATCAGAAAGCCTTTGTTTATTAAGATAAATGCAGATGTGTCTGCAAAGGAGCACTTCAAAATAACAGACCTTTTTAATGCAGTGTGATTCATTTGGGAATTTTTTTTTTTTAATCATTTGCTTTATCCTTTGCTTTAGGTCATTTTTGAAAGCCCTATTGTGTCATTAACTAGATTATGCTATGATTTGAGCATATTTCTTCATATTTAAAAAGCTTTCCAGGGCTACCCTTCTCTGGTTTGCACTTAAGTGAAATTAAATGTCTGACTGTTAGGTATTGCCTTTAGACCAGCTGAAATAGCTCCTCCAGCTTACATCCTTAGGGCCTCATTAGGAAGAGGCTCACAGCATGCCTGACACTGGTTAATATTTGCAGAGCTCATTTACCTACATTGGAAACAAACCAAAAAAAAAAAAGGCCAGACAAATCCTACTGAAGTGAAGAAGGCTGAGGGCATCAGTGCCCATCATCTGGGTCACCCTTCTCTGTCGGAAGTGGATGACCTACCAGGCAATGACTCCTTATCTCTTCTAAGCTGAAGGAGACCTGTTGAAAATGTGTCTTCATGTACCTTTGTTGTTAAAGATTCCAGAGGACAGAATAGGTAACCCATAACCTTGAGAGCAAAAAGGGAATAAGGGAAGAATTCCTTTCCAAAACAAGATATGTTCTTTACATAAACCTGGTTAGCTGGAGTTTATTTTCCAAGAAGATAAAGGAAATTTTTCCCATGTTGTATCTCTGCCCTGATGGGATTGTGAGCTAATAATTTTTCCCTATTTAGAAATGCAGGGTTTAGTAACTTGCAGTTTCTCTGAGAAAACTGGTCAACACTTCTTCATTCCCATTTCTCTTTACTATTTTAAAATTCCAGTCTGTGATATTGTCTGACATATGGCATTTAGATTAATGTATCTATATGGGGGAAATCTGGTGTGAATAATTATGGGCGAAAAGTCCTCAATAATTGAACTCTGTCTTCTCATCCATCAAACTTATTTAGGAGCCATTGTAATTTTTCAATTATGAAGATGATTTTGGCTAGATAAGTGTGCTTAAATCATAGGTACTAACTTGTTTATCTAGAAGCCTCCTCAACCTTTGTATATCATTGGGTTAGCTGGAGTTGATGAAGTACCAGGTTTATTCACTAAAGAGGTCCTGGTCTACTGCACTTCTTTCAATGAAAGCATACTGGAGAAAACATCATGTTAAAAGCTCTTGAACTCCAGTAGGATTTTTATTAACTTAATTGCTGAAAAAAATTGCAGTGAAGCACCCTAGCTTCAGGATTTTTAAAAATGCTTCTTCTACTCCTTTTTTCTGTTTATTACCAATATTGTGGAAGTTGTAAAGTGTCTGCAAACACCGTACAGCAGTTTCCTCATCAATGATTTGATTTTTGATTTTTACCTAAATTTTCAAGGAAACTACATATTTTTTCAAAACCATATTTTTGTATCCTTAGTTCATTTGTAGAATTCTGATTTTCTTTGAAATTTTTCAACTTGGAATTGTTGGTAAAGAATGTGTGCACGCTGGGGGCTCTTGTTACTTAATACTGGGCTGCTCCAATTGACAATCCAAAGAGCGAAGTATGAATTTCCCTTTTCCCTGGACCCTCATAACAGCTGTATTTTAAATTTTAAATTTTTCCCCAAGTTTATGGATGACAGTTTTTAATATTATGAGCAGTAACTTTTATTTTATTTTTTTAAAAGCTTTTCATTCATTTATTTGAGACAGAGAGCACATGCAATGGGGGGGGCAGAAGGAGAGGAAGAAGCAGACTCCCTGCTGAGCAGGGAGTCCAGATGTGGGGGCTCCATCCAGGGACCCTGAGATCGTGACTGAACTGAAGGCAGAAGCTTAACTGACTGAGCCAACCAATTGTGCCAAGCAATAACTTTTTAAATTTTCAAATTCCATGAACTGTTAAGAGTAATCACGTTCCTTTGGCTCTCCGCAACATTTGATTCTGTTGGGTATAACAACTACTTGAAACTCTCATCTCCTGACATTTATAATATTAATCTCAATTGGTTTTTATTCCACTACTCTTATTTTGTCTCCTTAGCTGATGTTCGTTAATAAACATATAGGCCTTGGCACAGACCCTCTTGTATTTATGCTGTCTGCTCTACTAAACACATCCTGTGGGTAGATTCATAATTTACCTCTGTATACTTCAAACTTGACCAGTGAAACGTGATGCATGTGACATTTTTGCTTGGTATAGAACTATCTTCAAATATTTGTTGGGGGTGGATTTACAAGAGTACTGGTGAATGCTGATGGCACTTTCAGTCTTTTATTTCTATTTTATTTTCACAACAGCTGAGGGTCAGTGAGAAGTAACTTGCTTGACCACCATTACATGGTTAATAATGAAAGATTCAAGAATTCCTAGGAAATGTCCTTTGGAGGTTGTCTAGAAGTCCATCACTTTCTTTCAGGCAGGAAAAAAAACTTGGTGCTAGGGTAACATCTTCTCAGAGTAGAACGGTCTGGAATTAAGCCCACCATGTTAAAATGTGATGGCCCGTGCGAATAGAATCATCTCTGTGTTTCAGTTAACTGTGAAGTGGGGATAATGAAGCCTATTTCAACAAGGTTGTTGTGATTATTAAGTAATACATATGAAAATGCTTTGTTAATTTTAAAATTCTGTAGGTGAGGGATATGCATGTTTATGAGTGTGTGTTGTTATTATTTGTGTCTAGGAGTGTATGTATAAAGTCATCTCCTGAAAAATTATTTTTGCAACTTCCCTTTAAAACACATCATGTTTTGGGTGCCTGAGTGGCTCAGTCAGTTAAGTGACGACTTCTTGGTTTCAGCTTAGGCCATGGCCTCATGATCCTGAGTCCCAGCCCTGCAACAGGCTTCATGCTTAGCACAGGGTCTTCTTGAGATTCTCTCCTTCCTCCTCTGCTCCTCCCCTACTCATATTCTTGTTTTCTCTCTCTTTTTCTCACTCTCTCAAATAAATAAATCTTACAAAAAAAAAACCAAACACATCATGTTTTCAGTGTCTAGAATTTTTTTTTTTATATTAAACTGCTTTTCTCACTCATGTTGATGATGTTTAGTTGATTCAGTTTGGGCCATAAAAATATAGAGAAGGAAACAATTCAGTGAGTTTGAACCTAAGCTCATTACTCAGAAGTATCTTGTGTCCATCCCTTCCTCCCTTTCTCTCAATGTAATCTTGATTTTAGTTCAGGCCCCCTTCATCCTTTCACCTTGTAGTCTTTAGCTGATATTCCTTCCATCTCTCTTTTCTTGTATCGAACTTCCACATTGCCAGTGGAATGATCTTTCTAATAAAAGGAAGTCAATCATATCATTTTTCATATCAGTTATAAATGTGTAATGGTTCAACATGGCTTATGGGTTGCAATGCAAATGGCAAAACAGGTCATAAAGCTCACCTACCTTCTGTTTTCCTGATCACCTACTATTCTTCTCTTTTACCACATGCATTGTGATCAGAGTCAAAGAAATGTGATGATTTATGGCAATGTTCTTTCATATTTTTCTTACTATAGATATTATGATGATCAAAACTTCAAAACTAGTATAAAATTTAACATGTATAATTACATTCAAGTTATTTCTTGTATACTGTTTTTTTCTTCATGGAAAATTCCCCAACCTCATTTTAGACAAAATTGCCTTTAACATGTTTATCATCTCACCATCTTCATATTGGAGAAGACAGTGGCATTTTAAGATAAAGGCTAAGATGTTTCCTTTTTTTCCTCTTGATTGGGGAGCAATGGGCATGGCAATAATTCATAGATTATTGCCTCTAATTCTAGATGTAGTGGTTATTTATATTAAAACTTTTATTACTGGGCAAAAACAAAAACTTTGGTTATTGATTATCCAGGGATAGGAAGCTCTGCCTAAAAATATAGCCTACTTAAAAATATTCTATTATAAAATGAAAATATTAAACATTATTAAATTATTAAAATATTATAAACATATTTTATTTATAATGATCTGTTGTTGAAAACATTGGGGAGAATATACTTTTCTGTCCAAGTACAGTATCCAGAATAATGTTGCATCCATAAGGATTGCAGATCTTTGCAGTCTGTCAGCATTATGTTTCTGCATAATTATTCACCTTGTCAATTACTTGGATATGAGTGTTGAATGAGTAGAGTGTTAGTTCAAATATTCTGATCCCAGAATATTCCCTGGAACCTGTTCCTTAAACTAAGCCTGTAGTATGCATTTATTTTATTATCATATGCTATCTTCTAAAATTAAGGAAGGAGAATGAGAATAATATATGGTTAAGAGTTCAGTTAATGAGATGCTGGGTGATTAAGTCATTTCTATGCCTAAATGATGGATAGTTCACTGGGGGAAATTTACTGAGTTTCAAAACTAAGTGATAGGTTACCCTCGTTGTTGGCAGTAACAGGGAAAACACAAGAATCTCAAAGTCAGTAAATTCATTGAATATTTTTTCTTAGAATACACTTTGTTACAAAATAAATGTTTTCCTTAAGATTCTGATTTTTTTAAAAACAATTTTCTGTTTGGAAACAGATAATTTAATATGTAATATTTGAGGGGAAAATCTAAGGATATATAAAAGAAAGACGTACTCTTCTTCATCTTATGCCCTTGGATATAGCCTACCGTGTTGTAATAAGGTCACTAAATTTTTTTATTAATAAGTGAATGAATAGGGCACCCTGGGTGGTTCAGTTGGTTAGGTGTTGGACTGTTGATCTCAGCTCAGGTCTTGATCTCAGGGTTATGAGTTTGCACCATGCAAATAAGTAAACAAACAAACAAATAGTTGACTGGATAGATGGATGGATGAATGAACGAATGAATGAATGAAAGAAAGAGTTGTTGTGAAGTCAGAGAATCAGATATAATAAATGTCAGTAGTGGTTTACCAAATCCCTATGTATATGATGTACCCTTAAAAAGGATTTCATACCACAACACATTATATCCTTTCAAATGAATATCATTTTTCAAGATTACTTTGGTCTGTGATTGCTACTATTTTAAGTAATTTTGAAAATATTATTTTACACTTAATTTTGGAATAATTTTGAAGTTACATAATAAAACAGTCCAAACCCTTCATTATTTTATAGAAACATCTCAAAAACTTAACCAAATATATTGCCAAATATTTTCATGCAATTCAGTAGGCAAAAATGGGCTTACATGACTTTTGAGTCTAAAACCGTATTTGCCATCAGAGGAGTTTGGCTTATTGAGAGGTACTCCAAAGAATATGTTGCAGATTGTGAGTGACAATGTTAAAAACAGAGCGATGGGATTACTGAAATAAGTTTGTTGTTTCTAAGAAGACTACTTTGAAGGGCAAAATAAATTTCAAAGTGTGTTTACAAAGCAGTTTTATTAAATTGTTTTCCATACCTCAAAGCTACATTTAAAGGCATAAAGATTAATGTGATTTGACCCACAAAAGTAGTTACAAATGTGTATCAACTAATTTCTATAAAATCAATACTTTTTCTAAATATATTCATTCTGGATAAATAAATGTGAATTATTTTTTGTGGCTTCTTCGCCAACAATAATTCAGTTTGATTTATCCTAGAAAATATTTCCCTGGATAGAATAAAATTCTAAAATTTTTAAATGTACTATTTTTAAAAAATATTTTATTTATTTATTTGACAGAAAGAGATCACAAGTAGGCAGAGAGGCAGGCGGGGAGTGGGGTGGGAAGCAGGCTCTCTACTGGGCAGAGAGCCTGACGTGGGGCTTGATCCCAGGACCCTGAGATCATGACCTGAGCCGAAGGCAGATGCTTAACCCACTGAGCCACCCAGGTGCCCCTTTAAATGTACTATTAATGGTTTGTCAAATCTAAGAAGATCAAGGATTTTTGTTTCATTAAATAAATATTTTTACTCTGTTAGTTATTATGTAAAGTAATGAAATGATATGCTATATTTTCTACTGCTTCACCCCCTTTTATGAGAGGGTTAAAGTGACCTACATGCTAAGTAATTTAGTAAGATGATTTGAGAAATTTTGGTTTTCTAAATGTGTTGAATTTATCTTTTGAAAAAACTGACCTCAGCAAAACTGTCTTTAATAACTAGTTCACCTTTAACCTGAGTCTCAAATTTCTCCTTTCAAAGGAACAAAAGTGAAATAAGTAAGGTGTTCTGAATTAGCAAGCACTAAAAATGTTACATATACCTTTTTATTTTGGAACATTCAAGTTTATTATGTAGAACACACACAGATGAAACATAAAAGGATAAGAGACAAAATTTGCTTGATAGATGCTGAAGTCCTTGCATATTGCCATATTATTACTCTCTCTATTTATTGCCCTTGAGTTATATATATATTTTTAATGCAGTAAATATTGGTACCGCTTTTAATGTGACAGAGTCAAGGGGAGTAACTTAGCTAACTAATAATCTACATAATATGAAAACAGTGTTTGTAAGGTTTCTATCAGGAAAAGTCCTCTAACACGAATTCATTTGCAAATCAGTTGTTGAAACTCAAAGTATATTTTCCATAGGATTATTGTTATGAACAGGATCTGCGGTATCCCCAACCAAATCCCAACTAGATATCTAATTAAAACATTTAGTTATATTTCCCTAGACTGGTTAAATTAATCAGCCCATGAACAAGTCAGCATCTAAAGATTAAATGAAAAGATATACCTACAAAGTTATACCTGCTGATATTGAAAGTGAGGAGAAAGTTGTGACATGTTTCTGTGCATTTGTTTCATTATTATTCTAATTAAACTTATAACTTCTAGAGAGTATAGTGTTAAATGGGTTTTACCTATTTTGAACTTAGTTTAGTTTTTAAATGTGTTATAATAATTGTATGCAATTCTAAGTGTTAATTTAGTTCAATGAAGAATTTTAATGTTTTGGAGATATGTTTATTTAATCAAATATTTATATATTTAAGAAATTTAAACATGCTTAAGAATGTTAAGATGCCAGAAAAATGCTAATGAAACAAAAATGGAGAGCAAATATATTATAAAGCAGAAATGAAATTTCACTACAATGGAAAGAGAAGACACTGAAGATGAAAAATTGGAAATGAGAAGTAAAATGAACTGTCATTAGACCAATCCAAGAGAAGTACTGAAAGTTAAACAGGAGAAAAAAAAGTTGTAATCATCATGGACAAGCATAAAATGGGGTATATTTTATAACTTGGAATACACAGCGGGGCAGGGAGCTCCATCTCAGGAGGCCATGACATCAGGACCCGAGCTGAATCCAACAGTCTGGTGCTCAACCAACTGAACCACACAGGCACCCCAATTGTCCTGCTTTCTGAGGTATAGTTCCCCAGAAGTGGACCCTGAGACAAGGATTCATGTGCAAGTTATTTATTAAGGAGAAACTAGTAAGGGGATGAGGGACACACCCAGGGAAGGCTGAACGCCAAGCAGGGTTATGATTTCAGTAGAAATTCTGACCTAGTCTTGTGAGGGGCTTGGACTATAGATTACACCTTAGAGTTTTTATCATCTGAAGGCAAAGGAGTTGGACTTTACACTGCTCTGTGAGACAGTCATGAATTATTAACCTTCAGGGCAGAGGGATGAGACTCATGCTGCCAGGCATTGCCAGCCCAGTGCTCCTACAGTGCAAGATGCCTCATAGGCTGAAAGGAGTCTTCTGAAGAAACTTTGCAGATTCTAAGCAAGAGAAACAAAACCCCCAGTGGCTGGGAGTTGGGACTCAGAACCACTAGCAAAAGGGTCCGATATGAGCATCAGTGGTGTCCAAAAATGTATGCCTACCGACATTGAAGGCATAAACGTGCTGACATTGAAAGAAATTAGAATTTTAAAATAGAAGCACCTATCTTTGTTGTACTTTTCCCTCTCTGCATTGACTCACCTGCTGTGGCTGCTCTTTCCAGCTTGTTCAAGTGCCCACCTGGTTCCCTGGAACTGCCATCTGGGTACCCATGGCCAGGCCCACTCTTCTCTCTCAAGTGACTCCAGGCTGAAACACCACTTTTCTTTCCACATCCATGTAAAAGTCTCATTTTCTTAGCACAGCTCAACTAAGTATTGAGAAGAGACAGATTCAAGTTCATTCACATGACTTTAGTTTTTGTTTTTAACAGTTATTTGTTAACCTAAGTGAGTATCTTATTCATAGTATTTGAGACAGTTTACACGAAGAGAATTTGACATGGTACAAGGGAAGACATTTTTCAGCTTGGAAGTTACCATGTGAGCAAAAAATGGCTCTAGATTGCTTGTCTTACTTCCTGCATCTCTGAACCCAAAAGTGTTCTCATGGCTGCAACTTCTTTTGTTTGTTTCTGAAACAATTGCATGTCATGATAGTAACACGAGGGAAGCAATGTCCAAAAAATAGAGAGTCTGATACTAAAGAAGTTTGGAAGTTCTTTTAAAATACTCAAAATATTTTAACAGATAAATGAATGAAAAAGTCTATTGAAAACAGTTTTCATCTAAATTAGAAATTATAAATATATTTTTTCTATTCCCCTCAGCACCAGTTGGGTATGGCTGACCAAATATTCTCCTATATAATGAGGGTTGACATATATGTCATTTATTTTTAAGAAACCTCTGGAAATAATATGTATTAGAAGTGCTCATTATATTCCTTGTTCAGCTATTTACAGAGGACATTTAATGTGAGGAGACCCTTTTGAGCAGTGCTTAGAGGACAATAGTATCTGTTCTTAAGGAGGATACACTTATGCATATTCAATGTCAAGTTCTTGGCATAGACTAGAGGGTCAAATAAAAATAAGAAAATATTATCAAAGTTTTAATGCAATAACATGAATTTGTTCCAGTTATACAGCATGATTAACTTCTATGACTAACCTCTGATAAGTTTTAAAATTTTTCCTATTTTCAAAATAACATTTAACTAACTTTCTATATAAATGGCATATTATTATTATTTATTGGTAATAATATAATGTACTAATTATAATTGTTATACTATGTATTATTATATTATGAAAAATCAATGCAGAAAAAAAAACTAAAATGCAATTTTCTAGCACCATAATATAACCACTGCAAATATGGGTTTTCTTTCCATCCAAATATTTTATCCTTTATATATGTATCTTTGTACACTGCTGTTTTTTACTTTAACATTAAAGCATAAGCATTTTTCTGTTGTTATAAACTCTTCATAAATCTTTTTTAATGCCACTGCATTAAAAGTCATCATTACTGCATGAGTTTTTAGGCTAACAGTTATTGGATTGTTGGACACCTAACTTGTTTACTGCTTTTTTCTCTTCTTTCTTCTCAGAGGAGTATCACCAAGGCTTTTAGTAATCTTTTTTTTTTTTTTAAGATTTTGTTTATTTATTTGTCAGAAAGAGAGAGAGAGAAAGCACACAAGCAGGCAGAGAGGCAGGCAGAGGCAGAGAGAGAGGCAGGCTCCCCGCTGAGCAAGGAGCCCGATACGGGACTCGATCCCAGGACCCTGGGATCATGACCTGAGCCGAAGGCAGCGGCTTAAGGCTTTTAGTAATCTAACCTCTACATGTCTCTGTCCTCTTCTATGCAGAGAGGCATTAACATTTCCAAGTCCTTTGTGGTTGAGTGAATCTCTCTGGGTCTCATATGTCCTTTTTTGGTCAACTGAAGCCACCTGTTTGAGATAAAAATTTGTCAGGAATACACCCAAACAGGGCTGAGTAGGCCTGGTGCTTCTGGCTAT